GAGTGGGACGGGCACGCGCACGGGACTTGATCTGACACTTTTTGCCTCCGGCCTGCGCTGGCAGCGCGGCAGTGAACCTTAGAATCGGGCCTACGCTCAAGAGGGCCATTTTATTGAGGCTCTGTCAACGTTGTAAACGAGGAGCCCCCGCAAGACTCAGCCAGCCTCAGCTGATGACCAATAAACGAGGAGCCCCCGCAAGACTCAGCCAGCCTCAGCTGATGACCAAATCTTCTGTTCAAGGCAAGGATCAGTTTAGGAGCTAGTTTGTTCCAGCCACAAAGTTGTTTTTGGCCTGAGCCGAATTGTTGAGGTGGAAGACGGCCATCCAACAGGCTCATCAGCTGGACTTTTGGGCAGCCCAGCACGGATCTAGCACAGCCTGGCACCGTCAGGTGAGACATTCTCAAAAGTGGGATTAATGTCAGTTTAAGGTCTTACGGCAAGCGGCAAGAGGCAGCCGAGGCTTTGCAAAGTAAGGCAATTGGGGCGATCTCAGTCCAGCCCACGCGGAAATCTCACATGGCAAGACAGCCACGAATAGGGATTTGTCAGTTGCAACAGAAAGTTCCAGGCGCGGCCTTCAACAACTTTATTTTTCTTTTGAAGCCTCGGCAAAAGCAACCGGGCATTCAAGGCCCTTCGATGAGAGCATTCAAGGCCCCCGGATGAGAGCAATCCGGCTTGTAGTCGTACACAGATGGCCCTCAGCTGGATGGACCAATCCAGCCCGCACCGGTGGCAGTGATTCTTCCGCCACATTAGGGGCCTAAACATGGCAAACCCGACTATCACTAGCACATGTAAGAACGTGGTGTGGGGTCTATCTACACGGGGCCTGTTGCAGGGCTCTTAGTTGTTCAGAAAGCCACGCTGCCACACATCGTCGTAAAGGCGCGGCAATAGGCATGGCGGGAGGTTTGCAACATGAACAAGGTGTCAAAATTTGCTCTGAGATTCCAGGGCTGGGTTTTTTTTGACCCCGGGAAGGTTTTTTTCTACCCCCGGGCTTCTTTTTACCCCCGAACGGGATTTAGAGAACATTTCGTTGTTATTTGACCCTGTTCGGGGGTAGAAAAAAACCCGGTCGGTTTTTTTTCACCCCCGGTGTGTTGGTGCACGATCCCGGCGGGGAATGTTTTTTCAGGTGCTGTCGTAAGCTAAACAGTTCGCTCTTTGCGTACCCGCATACCATTTTCAGCTACTGCTCCGGCAGATGCGCCCAGTGGCGGACAACCAGTTGTACGTGTTCTACTTTAATCGCGTGCAGAGTCCAGCAAATTTCTCGCACGCTTCGCAGGCGTTTGGACAGATTTAGAGAGACCTTTGGTTTTTCCCTAACGTTTGAAGAAACGGTCTGGCAAAGATTCCAGCAAACGTTGTCTGTGAGGTGTCAGATACAAAACATAAAGTTTGAGTTGAAAAAGCTGTTGATGCCTGCTTTATGCAACATGAAAACTTGGAAAAATGACTCTTAAGACCTAAAACTAAAACTGGTTTTAAGGCTTGGAAAAAAAATTCTAATCCTTCATCCCGAACTTTTGAATTTTCAGTTCCATACTATAAATGCTCTCTAAATCACGCCATGAGTGTGTTGCACAGCTTTTAACCTTATTCTAACTTGAATTTTTGGACTGCATTGTTGAACATTGGGTTTGTTCTTCTGAAATTGTGTTTGCCTTCAAGTACTAGTTCGGAAAAGACTTGGTTCTGTTCCAATTCGGAAAAAGAATTTGAAACTCAAATTTCAAAGCTTTGAATGGGTTTAGATTTGTTCAGATACACAAAAGAGAGAAAGATGTGACGACTGGCATAAGGCATAAAGTTTGAGGTGGAAGCTGCCGCCAGTTCGGAAAAGGCTCGGTTCTGTCCAATTCGGAAAAAAACAATGAAACTGAAACTTTCAAAGTTGGACGTGCGCGTTTCGGGTTTGGCTAGGTTATCGTGCAATCGTAACGGAAAAGTTTTCAACACGAGCGGTTCTGTGCATCGAATGCTTTTGCCACAGCAAGACAGCGCCTCGCGCTGTAACGGATGTGTTCCTTATTTTTAATCGATTATCAGGAAATCATCAAGTTGGATTTGAATTATTGGAAAAAACCTTTGACATTGATCTTGACCCAACCCCTTTCAGCCCTTGAAGATCTTCTTTCAACCTTGAAGCCCTTGAAGCGTGAATTGCGCAACGAAAAGGCTTTTCAGAAAGCTTGCAATACATAAGTCAAATAGTAATAGGTGTACTAGAAGTCGTAATCAGCAAAAGGTGGAGAGTTTTTTCCATTCAAGGGAAAAAAAATAGTGCGAAGCTTTTCCTTTCAAGAACAGTTGCACTTTGAAAAGACAAGGCAAGAAGTTTCGAATTGACCGTGTTCGGCTGAAGAACAAGGGGTCGAAGAGAAGCTTCCTGGCATTTTGCAGCCTTTCTTAAAAGCTCGCAATGTACAAGTCAAATATTAGTCGGAGTACTCGACGTCTTTATAGTAACAAAGAAAAACAGTGGGAGCAGCCCCGGACGGGTTTTCCCCCGCAGATTTTTTCAACTCCCGCCAGGGCTTTTTTCTACCCCCGGCAATAAACAGCAGGTACTATCAAAAGACCAGAAGGTTTGCTTGAAGAACAAATACACGACCAAACATAAAAATTAAATCTGCAAATCAAAGAAGTAAAAAATACTTAAACACGATTTGAAACCTGGACATAAACATAATACATGAGAATAATATTGGCACGAAAAACTCCAACAAAACGGAAAACCGAAAACATAAAAACCCAAGCACAGCTTTTCTTTGGTGGTCTTGCTTGCTTTAAAATGCACCCACTATTATTCATTATTCCTTGCTAAATATCATTACTACCAGTACTGCCACTACTAGTATGCTTATATTGTGCGCCTTAGCAGCTTGTACCGCCAAAGATTGAGCAGCTTGAAATAGCCTTGGAAATCGAATCTTCTTGACATTAAATTTGACCACTCTGTAAGATGAGTGGGCTCCGCCCGCTATTGTTTTGGTATATTGCAGCCTCTGAGAAGAAGGTCAACGGCTGCCAAGTTGAAGGGCTTGAAAAAACTTTTAAACATTAAGAAGAAAATCTTCAAGGGGCTTAAACAGCTCCAAAGGAGGCTTCAGGGGCTTCAAAGTTCTGGAACAAGATGGAAGGAGGCTCCGCCCCCCCAACCCCCCCACTTTTATTTGAGACAAATGCACACGGTCAATTCGAAAGTCCTGGCCTTGCTTCCACTGATGATGGCCACAATGTTTCTCACTGGAGATTCTTATTGCTGAGATCGAAGATTTACAAAACACTTTAGGGTCTATTTTTAGTTGCACCCACGAAATGGAATTTTAGTTGTACTGTTGATGCTGGCATTTGAGGCGAGCGTCAACGCCAGTATTTTCGGCCTCGAATGCTGCCCGCAGCGTGATTCTTAAGCATTGTGGCGCATGTTAAGGTCCAAGCAGCGGCAAAGTGCCCATCATAAGCATTATGGGGTTGTCTGCCGTCCCATTTCCGTTAGAAACCTTCCCAACCCTAGATACGTTGAGACTCAAACCGAAAAGCTCGATTCTGTTGATGCTGCTGGCCTGAAAAAATGCTTAAAACCACCGGGTGGGAAATCTCAAACGCATTTGAAAAATGTTTTTGATCCCCCAAACCAAATTCCTGGGATCGGCGGCTTGGCGTCACTCCCTTTAAGTAGCCCGGCGTGCATTTGTCTTGGACCATGACGGCCAGGTCAGATTTTATGCTTATTGGTTGCGACCTCTTTGTCCGGCAAGCGCATGTTGCACACCCGTCAGACTGGACAGATGTGGGTCGAAAAGATGCGTTCCTTCCAACCCGCTGTTTCGATCTGTCCCTTGTTGGCTTTCTCACTTAGTTTGATTCGTCAAGCCAGGACCTTTTATTTGACTGTCCGTGCTACACTTGGCACACCTTGTGGAATTGTTGCCGGATATGCGCTTAAGAAGGGTCGGGCGGGCAATTGATATTTCTATGTGTTGAGTTTCTGCTTAGAAAGCAGTCAGCTGCGGCTGATATGCGTTAAATTTGATTCTGCCCTGGGATTTGTCAAGGTGTTCACATTGTTTTTGTTTAGTTTTTTATGGGTTGTGTTGTCTCCATGTTCTGAGTTGACATGCTTTGAGATTTTCACTTCAGATGGATTGTGGGATGTGCATTTGGAAGACCCACCGGATGCACTCTAGAGGCTTCAGATTCAATCAAGGAAAAAAGATTTGCATTATCTAGTCCAGTTGCAACGGTATTTAAAAAACAATGTCGTGGCATGACAAATCAGTTTCCTCACCAGCAAAAAAAAAACCTTCGAAACTTTTCGTGCATCTCAACATTTGGGATGCAGGAGCCGCTAATACGCGAAACTGTGCTGAGACGTATGTGACTGCGCAAATCTCCATCAACATACACCGCAAAGGTTCAGAGTTCATGGTTTGGATGCCAAGAGCCTGCAAAATTTTGGCACCCGCAATGAAGGTCATTCCGGCCGATGTATGTTTTGCAGTGTGCGCAAGCGCAACATATGATGAAAACGATATATGGCATGTGCGAGTGTGACGTCGCTAAAATTCGCAGCTGCAGTTTGTGGTCTTAGCACGTGTACCACAATTGGCGAGTGTTGCCCAACAGCCTTCCTTATTCATTTCGACAAGTCTGCACAAGGTACTGGCAGGAAACGGTTACATGCAGCTGTGTTGAAGACCAAACATGAAGAATGAACCCACTGAAGAACACCCAGCACTTGTTTAGCACAGCGATTGCACCTTGTGTTCAGATTAGCCCATGGACTGCTGACTTGAGCCGATCACCATTTGCGTGCAGATGGTGCCATGCCAAAATTTATGCCTGGTGATGGACCAGGGCTTGGACGTTCTGCTATGTCAGGTTGTCTTCTGGGTCTCCAATGGCCAGCGCTGAGTTCGCTCCTATGGGAAGATAAGGCGCCGTAGTTTTGGTATAATGTTATGATGAATATGGACGAGGTACAAGCACTCCATCCTATGGCGTGGAGAGGAGTGTTGTTCCCATATTCAAGCAAAAATCACCAACTCATATGGCATCTCTTGACGTGCCTGACAGCAGGACCCGACAAAGACCCGCTTCAAACCGGCCTATGACGGGACGAAGAGAGTCGAGAGGTTTCGATCGGGTTGTTGAATACGTGCGTTTATGTCAGTCTGGACATGGCTGATGCTTGCGGACCCTCATCAACAATGGCGTCGATCATTAGTCGTTTGTGAAGCAGTTGGAAGACGCAACGGTCCACGTGTAGGGTACCTGTCCCGGATTCAGCTCCCTAGACAAGGGTATTATGCAGCTTTGCATGGAGATTGATCATCAACGTACGCGAGGAAACTGCAGCTCAACTTCTCTTGACGAATATAGGTACCGGCCTGGGCAAGTTCCTGTTTGGGTTGAAGAAGGCAAGAAGGCACCACGTTGGAACCTCAGGATCAAGCAGCGCGGAAGACAAGTTTTCGGCTGATGAATCTTTTTTGTAAGAATTGGTATGGTGATGGTTTGAGGCGGAATCGGTTGCTGCTTTCTAATGTTTGGTAGGTGTGCAAGGGACATGAATTAAGCCATGCGAGATAAATGGCAGCAGGTCCGAGCAGCACGGAACATGGGGCAACACGTGGGGAGGGATTTGCCAGCAAAGCAAGAGCTGAGGCAAAGCGCGTGAACCTGAAAAGCCTGAGGAGGATCTACGGAAGGCTCGAATCAATGATTGTTAGACGGTTGCACACAGTCATGGTTTGGCCAGGCCAAGAGGCGGCGGCAAGCAGCCGCTGTGGTTTTGGAGGCACCGTCTGCAGCTTTGGAAGCTTTGCCCCCCTAAGCCCACGTTGATGTCTGTTATTGTGAGGCCTCGGATAGTGCCAGCAGTCGCTTGGCGCGTTTGCAGCGGTCTGAAACTGTTGCGGGCTCAGTTGACGTCATTTGTCAGTCCTGGCACTCTCAACAGACCTCAGGCTGCAGAGGAAGAGCCAGGAACTGCGAGGCCTTCACGTAGACACATTTCGTTCTGGCATCAAACGTGTTTGCTGGACCGTTGTTGGGCTTAGTACGCTGAAGTTGGTTTGCAGAATTTTGGATAGGCTGCGGCACCGAACAGAGGCGGTTGTCCTGGAGGCTTGTGTCCCGACCTCGCTTTGGCTTGGTGGCATCCTTTTCAGACCAGGAGGAGGAGAAGGCTGAGAGCAAGGATGTGTGCAGCTCAATGGTACAGAGGCACAGAGGTTTTCTCGCGCAAAGCGATTGCAGCTAGCGAGGAGAAGTCGGAACTCCTGAAAGAAGAGTTAGACATTGACCTCAAGCCTGGGGTTGCTGAGGCATGAGCTTCCATGTCTCGTCGTTTCACGTTGCGATTGACTGTAGGCATCTAGGATCATCTAGGCATTCTGTGTTGGAAGCATGAACCTGGAGTGAAGTTCCAAGCTTGTTTCCGTGGAGTTGAACTACGACGAGATCGCCGGGTCAGGAGACGAAGACGTCGAGATCCAAGCGATTCGCCGAATCCCCGGTCTTTAGCGCCCTGGGACATCTTATATAGCTTTCTGGTGCCATCAGGTCGCGAAAAGGCTCGAGAACTTGCATTGTCAAAGAGAAAGATTGAGGAGGATGTCCTGAAGGCATATCTGTAGTTTGGAGTAGCAATTCGTAGCATGAATCTTTGATGTCTCACCGCTAACTCCTGTTATCCTTTGACACTCGCCGCGAAGGCCGAATTGGAAGAAGAGCAGGAGGTGAGATGCATTGCGATCTGTTTGAGTCATGTTCGTCTTGTGCCAGCACAGGAGATTGATGAGGAGGAGAGTGAGTATGAGTCAGAATCTGAGGAAAACGACCAAAGGCCGTCCTGGCTTCATGCTGACGTAAGATCCTTGTGTTGTTTGACAAGTCATCAAAGTCTTAATGCATGCCATTCAGACCCCATCTTGACCGCATGAAATTCTGTGATGTACAATGTGTGCCCTGTTCAGGCGTGGCCCATTGATGAAGCCAGTCTTTGTGTCAAAGGCAGATGCGGTGATTTTGATTGCCGCAATTGAGTTAGGTTTTTCTTGGGCAGGCCAACCGAGAAACTGTTCGAGAAAAGGCGCTTTGCATGTCCTGGTGCTTGACATACCTTGTTTATTCCCATGCCAGCCCGAGTGTGGCCCGAGTGTTTTTCAGGAGCAAATTGAAAGGGAAGAGGAAGAAGCTCGTAGAAAGAAAGAGATCCGACAGCTTGAGCGCAAGGTGTGCCTGTCTAAACCGATTGTGAGCATGTGTCGAGCAACTGAAATTGTTGATCCATTTGAAGGCTGAGTCAAAGGTGCTGCTCATCGACAGGATCCAGGAAGAAGCTGAGGCACATTGGCTTCTACAAGCCTGCTGGACTTTTTTTTTTCATTTTTTTTCCGAGGCAGAAAGGCTAGCGGAGGAGATGGATGACAGAAGTGACATCGAATTGTTAGATGACGATGATGAGAAGAACGAGGCTGAAGAGTTCGCCCCTGAGATGTCGGCATAGATCTGGCTGTTTCGCAGGAGGATGGCATTCCAGTGGAATTGTGCACACTCTGATCAATCGTTAAGCAAGTTGTTACTCAACATGGCGCAGCCACAACCTTGTACGGGTATTGGACTGACCTTTCATGTGCCAAAGAAATTATGGCGCCTCAGAATGCCCGAGTCCAGAACAACTGGGGAGGTAAGGCACACGCCCGAGCTTGGCTGAACCCAACCCTGCAGCAAGGTACGAACTTTGGAAGATTCGCGAGCTGAAGCGGATCAAGAGAGACAAGGAGGCGGGTCCCCTGACGCGTGTAAAACCATCTTGGACGCTGGTGCAAATTTGTTTCCTCTCCTTTTCTTGCAGGAGAAGCTCCAGAGGCAGAAGGAAATTGAGTTCGTCCTCAGGCGGCCAAAATTGCTGAGCAAACAGCCTGGCTGGCAGTGGGCAGGAAAGGGTTTTTTCTTTGATTATGGAATGCAGCCGTAGGCGGCGCGAAATGACCGACGAGGAGCGTGCCAGAGATGATGCTAAGCCGAGACTTTAGACACTTGATTTGGAGCAGCCGCCTAAGGAGATGTCAACTTTTTGCTCCAAGGTTGGATGCAGCCAATCCGAAGCGAGCAGATGTCAAGCAGTTCAACTTCTTGCAGAAACTTGAGGCAAATTAGGTTGGGCGCGTTCGTGTGCGAAAAGCATGTTGGAGCACATGGGCGCCTGTGACATTCGCTGAGGAAGTACTACCACCGTGGTGGCTTCTTCCAGGCGCACTGCCATCAGTAGCCATGCATACCAAGCGGCCTAAATGTTTTCCCCAAGCAGTGCAAAGCACGCTGCTTGTCATTATTAATATCGCAAGAATGGTTTCCAGGATTCTGTCAATGTAAGGTTTCGGGGATCAACATATTTTGCTACAGCCTACAGTGCAAGCCATCACAGGACAAAGCAGTTTCAGGTGAGGAAGCGCCTGACGCCCAGAGGGAGTTGAAGACTTGTTTAATGCCAAGCTTGTGAGTTGTGAGGCTGTACCTGCGTGACTACCACGAGCCCCTCGAGGAAGAGAAGTGCGCTTTCTTTCCCCCATGCTACCTTGAGAAGACTGAAGTTTGTCCAGCCAATCACGCTGTCTCGAAGGTACGACAAGCAACTACTGCCAAAGGCCATGCAACTGAGACGTGGCGAATTTGGCAAGAAGGGTCAGGTCGCTTGCCCCAGCGTTCAGCTTCAGATGTCTGAAGGCTGCAAGCTTTTCAGGTGCACAAGCAATGCATGCTTTGCGCGCGCTGAGGTGAAGCACAGCCACTTGACGGATGTCGATACAACGGACATGTCAGCTGCCTGGGCACAGAGCTCAAAGATCGTGCAGCGGTCCGCTCCTCGCAAGTGTGGGAATATGTTTTCTGCTGCGCTGCACGGATTTGTTGCTTCAGGTACCAGGAGAAGATGGCAGCTGCTAAGGGTGTCGCAAACTTCGAGCGACCATCCTTGAAAAAGTAAGCGCCATGCTCAGCCAGCTGCATGCTTGATGCTCATGATCAAGTTAACTATCTCCGTCCATGTCTTGAGCAGGCGGAGCTCCTCAGCTTGCAAGTTGGAAGCTCTTAAGCTTCGACTCTTAGAGCGCGCTTCGTCCCCTTTAAGGGGCGGCAATGCAACGGGTGAGAAAACGTGTAGCTGCAACATTTGCACTGAATTGCTCTGACCTTGGCCCCGACATGCTTACACTGTTTGATGAGGAGCACAGCTGCAGGCATTTGCATGTCAAGCCTAGCGTTGGCATGATGTAAGTGCGGTTGCCAGGCAGAACAGGGCAGTACAGCTGTTCCACCTTGCCAGGATTTCTCATATGCACTGTTGACACAATGTTGTCAGGCTGTCTGCAAATGACCTCACCGAACCGATTCTTGAGCTGCTTGCTAAGCTTTTTCTCAGCAAGCGGGCAAGATTACACCCAGAATCTACGAGGCCTCGCCATCAGCCTGTCCGGTGCTGAGGAAGAGAGTGGCAGGCAGAAGTCAAGAGGTCACAAAATCTGTGCCACTAACACGCAAAGAAGAACTGCGTCAACAAATTGTGCCAGTTAAGAAACGATGGGACGTGGGTCTTGGATTGCAGCGTGCCGTCGAAACGTTTGAGCAAAGCTCTGTCCCAGGAGCATTTGCGCGTCACAGAGTGCTGCTCTGCCCCAAGCGAGCAATTTTGTGGAGTTCTACTAGAGCTAGTGTGCAGAGGTGGGAGAGGTCCTGACTCACCAGCCGAGCTGCGAGGCATGACAGCCTGCACATTTGTCGTGTCCAACTTGCCTTCCGCAGGACGTAGAGAACCTGGAAGGCTTGCGTGGTGAGGCCACCTGAACAGCATGGGATAGTGATGCATAGTGCATGTTGGCATTTGCAGCACGCAGCCAAGGCTTCTTTTTTGCAGCATGGGCTCGAAGTCCAGCAGGCGATGACTAACCGGCAGGCGAGGTTGGCCAACAGCATTGCAGCGCCGCAAGGTCCTCCATGCTGAGGGCGCAAAGGCTGTGCCAAAGGCCTTGCTGCAGGCGTGGCATGATGTGGCATTCTGCTTGCTACAGCCAAGCTTCAGAGGTGGCTTTGCCGATTTCGGCTGTAAAGCAGAACGGGACCTTGTTCAAGTCCAACATGTCCAACATAACGGCCGTCACGCAGCACCCGCAGCAGGAGCAACGGAAGGAGTCGACACTTCACAGATAGACTTTCCTTGGTATTCAAGAGCATTTCGAGCATCAGTTGTGATATGGAACCGCATGTGCAGGAGTTGCCAGTGTTGCTCAACCAGTTGGTGGCAGCATCTCTCGCGAAAGAGTCCCTCGTCTCCTTTCATTCTGTGCAATAAGGCATGTTTCAGGGCAAGCAACATTTTAAGAATGGTGCATGCCAGAGCTCCAGGGTGCCGGCAATCTCCAAGTTGGCCCAGGAACGCTGGAAATTCGATCATTTCAACAGTGGTTAACATAGTAGCACGGTTCTCAGCTGATACCATTGACTCCAGCAATAGGCGGCCAACTGGCAGCATGTTTGGCAGGTTTTGGTGCTGCTGGTGCTTTTGATCGCTTCTTGACGGCAAGCCTTGGTGTGCGCTCAATGTGCACGTGGAGGTCAACAACCCGCCTTCCTTCACCCTTTCCGTTGCATTCAGGTTTTGCTCTGCCGCCATGATGGAAATATACAAGAGGCCTACCAAGAGGCTCTTCTTAAAGCAAAGACAGAGTGTGCGAGCTATCTTGACTTGGAAGATAGTAGACGGATGACTGGAATGCAGGTGAAGGAAGACCCGCAGATGTTATACAAGCAGTTCGAGCAGGAGCAAGTTTGGTTGGAGCGTGACTTGGATGTCCCGACCATGTCTGGCCCAGGACGTAGCGCCACGTGCAAGGTGCACACAGGCATGGCGTGCTCAGGTAAAGATCAGACTTCGCAGGCGAGTGGAATTTTTCCACCTGCAGGCATGCTGCTGAGATCCTGCTGAGGTGAGTAGACAAGAGGAGACAGACTACGGCGTAAGCGCTTGCGCAAACTTGTTGGCATGCTAGTTTAAGATGCGCTTCCTGGCACGGCCTTACTGCTTGGCCAGAGCTACCACCGTGATGTGTGATAGCCATTTCAGCAATATACTGAAGCAAGAGCATGTGACGAACTCGGTCTTGCGACCTGAAGCCATCCCGTGCAACAGGCAGGTTCACATGTGCAGCCCCAGACAGACAACATGACATACTGATGGTAACAATGCGAGTTGATGCTTTGGTTTCCAGACAAATGGCCTCGGAATGAAGGATGCCATGGGCCAAGATGCAGACATCAGCGGTGATTCATATTCCCCTTGTTTCATGATTTTAGGCCTAGCAGCATGGGCCGGCCATGCCGCCTTCATAGCTAACAACCAGAGCTGAGCAAGAGTAGAAAGGGTTAAGAAACCCATGTGGGTTGAAGCTGTTGGATTAGTAGGGACTGGTCGGTGTAGTAGCCGTGACAGTAGTAGAAGTCCTTGTAGTGCTTAAGCCTGGAGAAGAAGGAACACACCCTCAAAGGTGCCAATGATGCTGGCCCTCTTAGCCAACACCAGCAGCATCATTAGGGGGTCCTGGGTGACACCAAAAAATCCTGACAAAGCCCCTTCGTGTGTTGATGTGTTGGTGGGAATCATCAAAAGCGCATGTAATTTTGAACCTGCTTTGAGGGTGGCAAAGCGAACTTCCATTTTGCTGATGATGCTCGCACNNCTCCCCCCCCCTCCCCCCCCCCGTGCACGAAATGGATGCAAAGAGAAGCGAAAGAGTTAGCCCCAGAATGGAGAAATGGACCCCGCATAACGGGGTTGTTGATGGGTTTATGATGGCTTGGGTCCAGATTTCATGAAGGCGTTATAGATTTTATGGGGTTTTGCAACGGCTTTTGAGTCTGGCACACGTGAGTGTTTCGTGATGATTCAGGGATGGGCTTGCGTTTTGGTTTTTCGAATTTTATGCGGGCTTTTGGATGGCGGAGCTGATGAATTTCTGGTGTTTCTGTCGCTTGGAGGGCAGTCTTGGAGGCTGAGAGCTGTTGAAGCGGCTTCAACCGATTCATAATGATGCATGCGTGCAAGTGCACGTGAGGTGCGAAATGGGTTCCCAAGTGCGCTGATCATGAAAGGAAGAGGGGGCGCATGTGGGGGTCTGCGGGCGTGGTCCCGCCTTTCTATGTGAGCATCACCAGAACAATTGCGGAATATTTTGCCACCCCGAAGGCAGGCTCAAGTTTACGTTCGCTTTTGAAACTTGCCCGTACGTAGCACATGGAGGGATTTTTCAAGGTTTTTTGTGTTGCCAGGACCCCGCCAAAAGGAAGCATCATGACCACGGACTTTGTTGAACTGGGAAAATTTGGCCTCAAGGAAAGGCCTTAAGGTCACAGCGGGGCCAATAAATGAAGAACAGAATCCCAATGATGCTGATGATGCT